CGGTAGGGATTCATTATGGAGGTCCAGTGTTTTCTAAGCTCAGTGAAGTGTGGACTGTGAATTTTTTATGACCTAGAAGGCAAGAAACGGGAGAAGAAGTCTGAGGCGCTAAGCCCCAAGAACAGAGGGCATTGGGTTTGCCCCCAGTGAGAATTCATGCTGGTTAATGCGATAATGCGTACTGGGAAAGAGATCTGGGTGGTAAAGTTCCGTGGGTTTCAAACAGCCTCTGGAAAAAGGTCCGGGGGTTTCCCCATAATTTAATGGACCCCGGATGTGGCACAACCCACTGAGTGGCCTAGCTCCAAGAGGAAAATCCGGGGGTGGCGTAACCCATGACGATGGAAATGCAGGGGTGTCCAAACCCAGCTAGTGCGAAGCCATGTGTTATGAATTCGCGTGCGGATGCACTGGAGATGAAGCCCTCGGAGCCGTACTGCCAAGAGAAGGCCAGAACGTGACTCTGTTTGTGTTGTTTACGTACAACATGCCTTAGACTTCTTCATCTCTTTGTGTCACAATTTTGGTGTCCATTGAAACTGTTTTTTTCTGTATTCTTCATGCATGAAAATATGTTAATTCATTTGATTTTGTAATTTAGTTATCAGTTTGTTTTGCTTTATAGTACTTGTTCGGATGCTAAAGGCGTCGTGTGGAGGTTCAAAGTGGGTTCAGGATAGCGTCTGATGGAATTCTCTTGTCAGCATGTTCATGTTCCATATGGTTGGGGACTTTTGTGACTAGCTGAGCGACTAGTAGCTTACGAAGGAGTCTCTTTCATGCAGTTCATACATAAGATTAAATGAAACACTGGAGTTTGTTTCAGTTGTGAATACCAAAGTAAAATTTTACAGCACACAGGGGGATATTTGACAGATGTTCGAACTTGAGGTGTTGATTTAAGAAACATCACTTGTCACAAGAAGTGATTTTTCTGTAGAGTGAGCGTCTTACATGTCTTATAATATTCTTTTTCACGATTGCCAGTAACTGTCTCATACCCAATACCGAAAGAGCTTTTCGTATTAATGTTCTGATCATTAAGAATGTATTTATTTCTGACAATTTTACGATTTTTTCAAGAACTTTTACTGTTTTCATTGATTTAATATTACAGCTGGAAAAATAAATATATGTATTAATATTACAAATTATATGAAAATCAGTTTTCACATGTATCAAAATAATATGTGAACAACATTAAACAATACAAGAGTAAATAATAATATTAATATTGAAGAGAATATGAAAGGAAGCAAATGTTATTAAAGGCAACGTAGAAATACAACAACACAAGAACTGTGTTACAAATTAACCATCTTAACAGTCAGTGATTTTATCTTCGTCATAAAACTTCTGATATGAAATCTATCTGATTTTCCATTTATTTTATCAAAGATCTCAGCTGCACAGACTGAAAAAAAATGAGGGTGATGGATCTTCACGAGTTTCCTATTATGAAATCTCATTCTTCTGGAGTTTATACATTTACAGACTTTATCTGCATTTTAATAACAAAAAAGTCCAGATTGTCTGGAAGGTATGAATGACGTCTGATGGGGAAACTGTAAATAATACTGTCGGAAATATTCATAATGTAAGCCAGCTGATAAAGAAAGTAAATCACAGTACAATTTTTGCTTTCTTTTTGAGATGATAATGTTGCGTCATATTGTGATGATTATAATTGTTTAATTTTAACCGTCTAATCACAATAAAATATTTTATTAAATATTAAAATATTATTACTACAATTAACATTTAATATTTAAATTATTATTACTACAATTAACATTTAATATTTAAATATTAAATGTTAATTGTAGTAATAATATTTTAATATTTAATAAAATATTTTATTGTGATTAGACGGTTAAAATTAAACAATTATAATCATCACAATATGACGCAACATTATCATCTCAGAAATTATAACTCAAAAGGTGTTCCTACGTTCTGCCCCTTTGCGACACTCTCGTTATAAACATACGTTGTTACATTATAATTTACAGGTTTTTGTGGTTCAAAGTTGTAGTACCGAAGCTGGCGAGCCAATAAAACAGCTTTGTTTCTGATGCGGGTTAATGACAGATTTTAAGACATTGGCATTGTTTTTCCTGATTTTGTCTCTGTTTTCCACATCCGTTTCAGCATCTCGAATAATGTTATCTTCTTAGTGCACTTTGTCTAATGCCAGAACCAAGTACACATTTCTTACAAGAAAGGCACTTGACAGTGACATGTGCTGTTCTTGCTCATAAATGGGTGAGCGTGTGTACTGGATTAATCTGGCTCAGGATATGGTCTAGTGGCGAGGTCTTGTGGACTGGGTGAACTCGATAATAAAACTTTGTATCCCATAAAACAAAGAGTAAATTTAAATGTACAATTTTACCTAAAATAATTTTGCCGTAAATGTCTTAATGAAGCAGAGTCCTTCTTGATAAACGGATAGTTCGCCAAGATAGTCAATGAATTCGCTGTCTTTCATGGAATGCAAAGTTTCATTTTCGTGTATAAAATACCCCACCATTCCGTCCCGGATTAATCCAAACCTCCGCGTCTTCCGAGCTGTGTCTTCTCTTCAGGCTCCTCAACCAAAATGTCTGCACTTTTGTTGAGGCCGCCACGCGTCATATGCCCCACCCATTCCCATTTCTCCGAAGTACCCCGTTTCCAGGCACCCTCAGTTTCATTTTTCGCCTGTATGTAAAAGGCCGGGCTTCGCTCTTGTGTAAAACTACAGTTCTGTAAATGTTAATCTTTTGTATATTGGTTTAGCAGACGGGGAGACAAAAGGGTGTAGTACTCCTCGAATTAAATCTGCACTTTATTCCCTCAGGAACGCAATTCTGGTTTGTTAACGTCATTCCAGGCCACTTTAACTTTGTCCACGTTTTCAAAAGACTTGTTCGCTACTTGTACATTATGATTTTTCGCTGTGGCCTCGTGGCAAGACACGAACATAATTGCCGGCAATTCCTGTCCTTCCATTTTTATTACAGACCAGAACTGTAGGATTGATTAATGTTAAAGCGGGTTTATCAAACTGTTTCCAGTTTAAATTGATTCCTTATATGTCATATAAAATTAAATGTAGTTCCAGTGTGTACTTACATAAGAGAGGCAGATTACAGTATGTCTACATTATTATTTATTTATTTAGTGTTCTGTCTGACGACAGGTCCATATGAACAGGATCCTTCCTTCCTTTTCTCGGACTGGGACCTGTTCATATACGTTCTTGGCAGATGATCCAGAAGTGGTTTGCCATTGCCTTCTTCTGTGTGTGAATGGAGTAATTGTGGGGATGCCACGGAGGAAAACTCCGTGTTGCCTAGACCACGGCCTGGCCCAACACAAGTTATAAATTCGAACCCGACACCCCAGGATTACAAGGCCAGCGTTACGCCAGGGAAGCTTTTTATTTTGTGTTCTGTCTGACGACAGGTCCATATGAACAGGATTCTTCCATCCTTTTCTCGGACTGGGACCTTTTCATATACGTTCTTGGCAGATGATCCCGAAGTGGTTTGCCATTGCCTTCTTCTGTGTGTGAATGGAGTAATTGTTGGGATGCCACGGAGAAACCGGGGAAGCCCCCGGAGGAAAACTCCGTGTTGCCTAGACCACGGCCTTGCCCAACACAAGTTATAAATTCGGGCACCGCCGGGAATCGAACCCGAGACCCCAGGATTACAAGGCCAGCGTTATAACTGCTAGACCCACCGTGATGCTGTCTACAGTATTAATGTAGTTAAAGTTTTAACGTCGCATTGTTACTAATAAGTTTCGAAAGGGCAGTTGTTGTTTTTTATATAGACACAGGCACCACAGCGAACAACGTTGTCCTCTCGCTCCTTTAAAATAAAATGTGATTAATACGTCGCGTTGACAATTTTTTTACAAAGCCTTCCTGGTCGCATATCAACATTTACTTTCTCTATTCGGACTTCACATTTCCAAGCCGTATGTATATTGGTTGATACGTAAATTTTAACGATGTTGCAAGTTTATTTTAGCATCATTAATGATGCGCGCTGCCTCACGAGTAACGGATTCACTGATTTTAAAACAAACATCGCGGTCGAACGATTATAATTTCTGTTTCGTATTCGAGACATCATGGATTAAAATCTCATGTCTGAGAACGGCCTTCCTGATCGAAATTGTTAGTGGTTTTCCTCAGAACCTTCAAATGTCGATATAATGCCCTTTATCAATTTTTTTCACATGGGTTTCAATTTAGAGTTCGTTGACCACTCGTCAGTTGACGCTAAGTAATCTGACCCTTTGACCCGTCGTGAGATAAATTGTAAATGTAAGTAAAACGCAGGTGTATTATTTATTTAAACACTGAAATTCATTCCACTGAGTTTGTTTCTGATGATAAATTCCTGAGAGTCGGAGGGTCTCGGCATTTTCCATTTAAGACGCTATTCAATGCAGAGGACGGCTAAGAAGCGGTTTCTTTCGTACTCAGAATTTGGGGGGACGTCGCCGGCCACTCGCTCGTTGCGAGGCAAATCCTTGTGCATCTGTGCCTCTTCGCTGTAACGCACTAGGGTTTGCCACCGTGAGGCTGTGGTAACCGGCCGCCCCATCTGACCATCATGTGCCTGCCTCATACGACAGATGTAGATTACTAACAATGTTTCTTGCAGCTTCATCGAAAGTTTGCGAAGAACTCCAGAGAGACAATTTTTCAGATTCCAAACTTAAAAAACTAGGGTAGATGTTAATAGAACACGTGTTTGAATCGAAATAATGTCACTGTTTTGTTACATGGGCTGAAGTTTAAAGGGCAGTGCGTTGACAGAGTAACAAAGCAGCAGACTTGTTTTTAGTTGGTCGGACTTGAAAGATTTGATACCGGAGCGAGTCGCAGGAACAGGGATGCTGCATTGTGCGGTGGATAAATGTGTGCAAGAAGGGTGTGGCGGGGTTCCAGAGGAGAGAGCGACAGTGTTGATCTCTTGCGGCGGGTGGTGGAGTTACGCGTCTAGCTGTGTCAGTCCGCATATGAGGGCTCTAGCGGGTACGTGTCTGCGCACTCCGACCCGACCGAAATTCATCTAAAACCTGACACAAAATATAAGAGTTAAAAAATAAAATTCTGAAGTTATAAAAAGATAATTGTCTATTGCATACGTGATACATAATCCAAGAAAATAATTTATTGTTAAAATAATTGAACTTATAAAACGTCAAAATATCTTAATTCGCCTAAAAAACAAGTGAAATTCTTTAGTGGGGTTTGAAGTTCTTAATCTAAACCCCGGTTATCTCTGCTCTTCTTACCTTTTGGTCTTAATAGCTCGGTTATTTTAATAATCGCAAATTCGTGATGTCGACTAACAGCGCACCAGAGCCAGTGGCAACGGCGGATGCTACAAGATTCGTCACCGAGAAAGTTGCTGAAGAGGTTGGGACGGTTTCTCCCCCCGCCGGGAGTAGTCCTGCTTCCAAACACAGTAGCACCGCTGGTGGGGGCGACGCACCCCAAACAGCGGCAAATAAAGGGGGCGTACCGGACGGCAACTGCTCCCCAGGCGGTGTTCCTGAGAAAGGTAAGCGAACAGAAAAGAGTTACCGCAAAGCGGACGTCGGTTGTTACAGGTTCAGAAATGTGCTTATTAGAGGGCGTCAGGGCGCGTTAGCGAAAATCATGAATTCTTTGTTGTCGTAAAGTGTAGAATTGTGTGTTCCAGTAGCTGGTCGTGAGCGACGTTCAGGCTATAAATTATTTTAACCGTATGTTGATGATGCTTTCGTAACACGCAATTAAATATTTGCCTAAGAACGCGTCTAGGAATTTTTACTCGTTTTATGGTTAATTGAGCGAATTTATATATACATATTTAAGTAAATTGCGCGATATTTTAACGAACATATAAATAAAAGTAACCAAAGAGCATGTTTTAGGGCCAATATTCCATTACAGAAATTACAACATTATTGAAATAAATATCGTGTACTTATGACAGTATTAGTGTGGCAAAATGACAGTGCAGAACGGTAATTCGTGTTTCAGTTTACCCCTCAAGTTTATGAAAACATTCGTGGTTCGAAGATTTTATTTCTTATTAAATTAAAAATTAATTTCTCTTGTATAAAAAGTTGTTCAACATGTGTGAACTTAAATATATCTTACAAAAAGGTGTTGTATTTTGCAGATTAAAATCTCCTGCAGTGGCAGTCATATTTTGTATGTGCCTAAACTTTAATTCCATAATTACAACTTCACATATACATGAGGATTATTTAATTTGCATGAGTATTAACCTATCTCGGTTTCAGAGATGTAATGCTTCTTTATTTTTAACGCCGGATGATGATGATATCTGCAGGTAACAGATTCGTGGGCTAGCATTTCCAAAATTAATAACTACTCACATTAAATAACTGCAAGTCTGTTTGTGCTTGAAATATTGGTAAGGTAAGCAGCTGAATGTAATTTACCGGGAGTATTATAGGTCAAAGCATTTGAATCCATTAACCACATGCCCCCAGACGTTTTTCGTTAATTTATAAATGATGTTAATTTCTCTTAATGTATGCACTCGCCGCAGACGCTTACCGGCATTTTAGTGGTCCTTGCTGCCTCCATCATCAGTCATCGTCCTGATGATGGACCTCTGAATCGTCGGTAAACGTCTACTATCAGACTACGCGACGCCACAACCCAGGAGACAGCCGTCTTCGGCCTAGCCACCGTGAAAACCTCAAATCCTACTCAGTGAAATTAAATTATGCACGTATCGGTGCAAAGTACAAACCACGCAAATTAATCTGATGATAATAGATAAATATTTTAATTCCGCCGTTAATTATGCCCGCAGATGACAAGTGTCGCGAAAATTGACATTCTCATGGCTCTCAGTAGATTCAGCACAAGACATTTTAATGCCATATTCACATAAAATATTTTGTGTAACTTCAAGAAGTTTAATATACATTTAAAAAAAGTCTACTGACATTCCGTTAAAAATTCATTGCCGCAACAAATTACAATACAAAATCCTACGTTTCCATACTAATAAACTTCATAAACTGATACATGGTTGTTAAAATACTTCCTTAGTTCTTTTCTTGAGGTAAAAACTGTACCTAGTGTCGGTATATTTTGTTATGAAATACAGAGCACTGTCGAATAACTTCGGCTTTTGAGTGTAAGCCACGTCGAATGTATCCAACGTTTCGGCTGACATTGCAGTTGCCATCCTCAGGGTGGCACTATAAAAATCCATCTCGTCTCCACCGATTGCCTGTCCTAAGTAAGGAATCCAGAACTCACCCAACCACATTGACTCCAAAGATGGTAACTGCGGTGTTTGCTGACAAAGATTTGTTGAAAATTCTGTTACTTTTCCAAATTGAACTTTTCTGAATTTTCTTTTGGACACCCTTGTCTGATTAGGGCCTGACAGGCTTAACTTTGTCAGTTTAGTCGCCCTTCTACGGGGATTTGTGTAGCTCATTGCAAATACATTTTGGAAAAACTTGTCAGCGCTTCAAAAAACTTACATAATGCACATTATTTATTGTGAGTGGATAAATAACACTTTAAACCATCGCTTTAACCCTTTGCGACCTCTGTCGGACTGAGTCCGACATTTAAATATCCGAGTTCCGGTCCGATGTCGGACTGAGTCCGACATTTAAATATCCGAGTTCCGGTCCGATGTCGGACTGAGTCCGCCACGTGTTCTACTAACATTTACGTAATCTGGACTCAAACTGAGGCTGGCAAACAGTGTCAGCATATCATTCAAGCCTTCTTCTTTGTACTAGTTCTATCCTAGTTTTCCTGGTAAGACTTTGTGACCCTTATAATAGTTAAAGGAGGCAGGAGAGACAACTCGTTTTATTCTGACACGTGTCGAAGTAAGCCAGGATTCCACACCAAGTGTTTTGCCATACATCATATAGAGACGTAATATCATCGTGAGTGTAGCTGTCATATTTACTTAGAATAGATGTATATTGTATCTGATAAAGTTATAAAACAAATATCCCATCTTCCTAATTGAAAATTATATTTTTTTAATTATTCTTGGCGCATAGAGCAATCCACCACTGACATGTGCATATTATTTCGTCTTCTTATGAAGCATTCTTTGTGTGTATCGTTTACAGTTTGAATTCTGTTTCACTTTCCTGGTGTTGAATTTGGTCTTGACATTTCGAAAACAATCAGGACGAAAGGAAACACAGGTCTGAGAATATGAAATCCAATGCTTATACATCGTATATCTGCATGCAATAAGAGATGTTTAAACGTTGCCAAAATCATATCTACCGACTTGTACTTGTTTTATTCTCTACCAAACGACAGGAAGCATAAAGGCACCACTTATTACACATCTCACTAGCGACAGTGGTACAGTCCGTGAAAAATATTTCAGACGGTCAGTATTCAAACAAGAGGAACTGTGATCCTCTCAGAACATATTTTCACCATATTTAGCAAAGTAACTTCCGTTTTATGCAAGTTGGAAAGAAAATCAAAACTGCTTAGTGGTATTTAAAATGTACCACAAAGGGTTAAAAAATAATAACAAGAAAATACAAATCTCAGAAATCTATTCAAAGTTTTAGTACGAAACATATGAATTCGGATGACTATGCGTATATTTCAGGATAATATTAAAAATGGTTTTAGATTAATAGTGTGTGGGGGTAACTGACTCAGGGTAGTTACCAGTTTCAGTCGTATTGCCTCTGCAATTATATTTGGGTTTCGTATAATGCATAGTATGTACTGAATAGCTGAGCGAATATCACGGAATATCCAACACCGTATAGTTAGTGCAACTAAGTTACTTCGTTAAAGACAGAAGTTTCCTCTGACAGCAACGAACGTTCTCAGAAATTCATCCAAGAAACTTCTGAGTTTGCGTCGAGACCGGCGCCGATCCAGGGTCTTGGAGCTCTTTTCGAAACGTCTTAAAATTAAATTATTAACATGCCGATGTTCGTTATAGGTTCATTCGAAATGAGAAGTCTTTAAAAACGCGCCTGTTAGGTTCTAAATGACTGTCGGTCCGTCTAGCTGCCCTCATATGACAAGTTCAGAATTCGTGTACCGACCTACATGAGGTTAAAATCCGATAAGTTGCTTAAGACACAATCCATTACGTGGTTAAGTCAGCAACAGAAAATATGTATAAAAATTACCAGTCATGTCTTTCAGTTTCGAACACTAGAGATAACCACCGGAAGATGTCGAATTAAGGTCGAAACATGTAGTGGATTTCTAACAAACATTGAAACTATAATTAAGGATCTTGTGGAGACGGCTTTCTACCTCGCGTTCAACACACAACAGGATCCGTCTCTTAAAACTCGGTCCTCATGTTCACCGCCGTGGAAATCTCGATCAAGAATGCGTTTTGTTTCGTTTTGCATGGAAGTGACTGTAGAATTTTACCCGTTGTTTAATATAAATAGCCTGTGAAACTTGTGTTTTAACTGCAAAGGTTGGACAAAGTACTTAAGCGACACAGACGCACGGAGAAAACGCTAGGACCCAGAAATTTTAAGGATGGGCTTTTATTTAGACAACAAATTCACAAATATTGGGACAGAAATTTGAATCAATAGAGTAACTAGAATTAAAAATGCAATTCAATAAAAACTGGACTATATTTGAGCAGGTGTACGGAAATTGAATATGAGAAGGAATAACTCATAAACTGGGGGTTAACAAAAATGAGAGATAGCATAGTTTAAAACGAAAGGAGAGAATACAAAATGGTAAAGTTAATGTAAAGGTATGTACGAGGCGCGTCCCAAAAGTAAGTTTGCCTGGGGCCGTTTACAGAAACAAAACACAATTTCATGGAAATATTTATTGCAACAGATACAGCAAGTGTCCAGCTATTTTTCAACATATTCGCCACCGGAATTGAGACATTTGTCATACCGTGGGACCACCTTTTGAATACCTGTGTCGTAGAAGTCTGCCGCCTGGGATTGGAACCACTGTGTGACAACCATCTCCGCCTCTCTGTCATTCTCAAAACGCTGACGCTGACCGGACAGGAATTTCTTGAGGTGTAGGAAAAGATGGAAATCACTGGGAGCGAGGTCCGGGCTGTAGGGTGAATGATTAAACACCTCCCAGCTGAACTCCTGCAGGAGACTTGCTGTCCGTCGAGCCGTGTGCGGCCTAGCGTTATCACTGACCGCACTTCACAGTCGGCGGGAGCTGGAATAAGAACCTCCATCTTCAACAGCTGCAACGATGCTACTGTGAGAACACGGGAGGTGCCGTTAGTGCATGCGCCATGCTACGTCATTGCTCTATCACGTACGCACAGTCGCTTTGCGCAATATAAGGTTTGCTAGCTGTGGGACCAGTGGGAAACTTACTTTGAGGACGCGCCTCGTATAATTAGACATAAGACTAGGGAATCATGTCCAGCATTGGTAACTGTAATCAACAGACTATATATTTCAAATTACGTGCATAGATTTCTTTTATTTTTTCCGATCTGACAACTGTCATTATTTTGATATTTATTCGCTGAAAATGCGAGTCCATCGTTGGCATACTTTACCGACA